AAGCACTGCAGAAGTGGCACCCCCTCCAAACCACCAAACAGGGAGTAATCCCTGGGGACCATTAAGTGAGCCCCCCCAAAACAAAACATTAACCAAATATTTAAATTTGAACCTCTAATTTAAAATCATGAAGTCTTTTTTTTGTTTGTTTGCTTATTTTTCCTCCTGTCTTCTATGACCTTCTTCCAAGCATTGGCTGTCACGGGGCATCACTCATTGGATATTTATTCTTTGCATTCTTGACTTCTTGATAGAAGTCTTGTGTTTGAAAATGTTCCTTTAGGCTACACTAGGATTCCAAACATGTCAAAGGTATGATATTGTCAGAAGTTTGTGGTTTAAATCTGCCAGCAAATTGATAAACATTTCTGAGGACCAATATTGTTCAACCTCAGTATGAAATGGTGACTACCAGAAAATCATTCTCTTGTGCACTTACCCAATCAGTTAGAGAATAAAAATACAGTCAACATCTATTGAAGTTATAGTTAAACTATAAAATATAAAAATTCATTAGTAAGGTCTTTACCCTCAAGATGACAGTCTAGTGGGGAGGAAAACTAAGCATGGGGGTATGGCAATGCTATAAGAAGATACTCGCTACAGGCTTCTAAGAAGTTTCCAGAATCAATAGAAAAGGGACCTAAAAAAACAGTAACAATATATCACCACTAAAAAGGCCTTTGAACTGATACTAATGTGGAAAAGAGGCAGAAGAGAATAAGAATTTGCGGGACTAGGGGAAAATAGAGAGATAATGTAAGCATTTAGGTATCTGTCTTGTACATGGCTGACCCCAGTTCATTCTCTGGCACTGCACATGGTCCCCTGAACCCTCCCAGGAGTGACTTTGAGCACAGAACCAAAGTAAGTAAAAACTGATATCCTCCCCCCCCCCACCAAAAAAAAAGAAACAAAAATCATTTATTTTAACAAAGTGAGACAAAGGCCTAAGCAAGTAATGAAGTGAATTATTTTAGTCAGTTATTAACAACTAGTGGACCAAAATTGCAATCACTCCAATTCTTTTTTTTTTCTTTCAAAAAATTATTTGGTGCCAGAAATATAGCAAGGGGGTAATACTCTTGCATTGTGTGTAGCCCAACCCTACCACTGCACATGATCTCCCGAGCACTACCAGGAATGATTCATGAGCACAGAGCCAGGAATAAACCTTGGTCACAACTGAGTGTTGCCCACTTCTCCATCCCAACTGATAAATTTTGTAAAGACAATGTAATCTGTGCAAAAAAATATGAGCTAAATTCATAGAATACTTTTGGTCCGAAGGAAGAACTTCCAAGAGAAATTCAATAAACCATAGCTTACCAATAGGAGGAGGGGGAATGAATAAATGTAATAAAATTTGAAAGTGAAGTTTAAGAAAATAATTTGGATGATTTATTTCAATTTTTAATTTTCTTTGATGACCTAAAAATATTTAAAATGAACATCCATTTCACCATAGGAAATGATGAATTTGTTTTTAAAAAGAAGGAAAGAGTTATGAAACAATATTTTTATCTACACAAAAGTAAAATGGGTCTTAGTATGTCTAACACAGTGATTCTTAAATTCATCTGATTATAGCCATTTATTGAGTCCCTCTTACGTGAAGATACTATTTGAAGTTGTGAAGGCTATGGGTAAGACATAGCCTCTGACCTCAGAGCTTATAAGATTTCTTTATATTATCTCCTGTTTCATCTTCTATATCTCAATCAAAACCAGAAAAAGTTCCGTTCCAAATGGCTTTTCCATGCTATCTGTAATCTAGCCCTTCATCTTCTTCACCCCTGGATCCCTGCTATTCCCCCCCCCCCCCCCCCGCAAACTCATTTCCCGCAGCTAAATTGTGCTCCAACATGAAAAAGACTCAGAAAGCACTTTGTTAGCTCCCATTGAATTTGTGTCTGTGGAAGAAAGTCCCTGGAGTCATTTAGGTGTGAGGGAGGAGTAGTCACTCCAAGTCCATTAGTCTAGGTTTGAACTGGGGTCAGAAACAATACTTACCTTATATCCTTAACACAACAGAGATTTAGGAGAATACTAGAGTGAACTTACTTTAATTCATGGCTCCTTGAGGTTTTTCTGAACAACTTCTCCCCTCTTTCCTAGACCGAGAAAAATCTGAGAATTCTAGAAGTGAATTTCTATCAGGTTGAGGAGAGAGACTACCAAAGAGATAGATCTTATAACCATTGATAAAGCCAACATTACTGAAAGGACACCTTCTCAATGACTTAGAACTTCCCTTGATTTTCCCATTTCCATGTTTATGAGAATTTCTTTCTAAAAAAAAATAAATATTTATATGTCTCTCACACCCCATTCTTCCAAAGCTACTTAGGTTAGACCTATTCTACATTTCTGTTCGCAGAGTTGTAATTTAATGATAAATTAAGTCTCTCCTTTTTACAAAAGTAATTTGTCTAAAATAAAAATTTCAAAAGGACATTTTGTAGACTATAATGCACACTTTATATGATTATTGCTGTCTTTCAAAATGATGTCCCAGACTACATGATTCTAAGTTATCTGTCAGAAAATTAGGCTTTATCAGAGAAATAATGACCATCAAAGAGATAGCTATGATGTCAGAGAGAACCGTACATATACTTTTCACATTGCAATTGTATTGGTTGAGTTTAGTCTTTTTTCATTTTATACACTTTAACCAATAAGTCACCTAGAACCAGAGATCAAGTCAACAGAATGCTCTGCCTTGTAAATGCAAACCTGTTATAGGCACTTCTGTGAGGAAAGTGTGATGTCATCTCTGATCATGAACTTTATCCTCCATGAATATTTAGAACAACCACATCTCTATCTCACTTGACATATAGGAGCATGCCATAACCTAGAGGTCGGTTTGTTTCTCTGAGTGCATATGGCTAAAAGTGCAGGTTAAATCTGCCAGGGGATATATATTAACCTCTGGGTCTATTCCAGACTACTGCTTTTCCATGGGTTTCACATACACTATAAATAAAATTTCAAGATCCTAAAAATTAATTATATTTTCAAAAGAATTCACAGAATCACTGGTGGTTAGCCGTTTCTCCGTTTTCTGGTATATTATGTTCTATACCAGTGCTTTCAACTACATTTCCAGATAATAAAGTTGATTTTTGTGCTAGAAACATCATAAATAACTCCTAAACGCAAGTAGACCATGACATTTATACAAAAATGCAAATATATTTTACCCCAGAAATATGAAAGACTCACATTGCCTTGACATTCAAACATATTTCAATCAGAAAACAAAATGCACAGTCATACAGAAATCCAGTCATGGTTTAAAGAAGCATTTCTCAAGAAAATTAAAAGCCAAAGGAGTTTGGATGATTTGATTCGAAGAGGAATCTGTGGGTCTTAATACACAGTGACACTAAAATTTAAAATAATTCAAGACACTTTATCATTGTCATTTGAACACTAAAAGAAAGGGAACATGTTCTATGTTTATCCCTCAGAAACATCCACAAATTAATATATATTAAAGTAGTATTGCCAACTCTGACAAAATGTTAGATTCTAGTAATGATCTGAAATGTATCTTTGTTTACAAACTACACTAAAGTACTAAATCTGCCTTCCAGTCTTAATTTCTTGAAGAATAAAATCTCTAAGAGGTTTCATATTCCTCCTTCAGCCATACAGAATTGCATTTTTCTTCCCATCTTTACCATTGTTCAGATCTCTTGTCATTTTCCATACACTGTAACCGATAACAAAACTGACATTGTGTCAAAGAAACAGTGGCATGAAACTTAGTAGACTCATATAAAATAATTTGATTTGGTAATACTCCAAAGTACTGTATTTGTTAGTGTGTGTCTCTTAAAATACAGCCTTGCAAATAAATAATTTTAACTCTAGAGATTTTTAGGCCCATCGTGTTCTTACTACAAGTAGAAAAGTAGATGACTGTATCCATTTGAAGAAAAGTCTGTATGGGCTCTGCAGATGGTTCTGGGGGCTAGAGAGCATCCTTGCATGCAGAACCTGCAAGTTTGGTGCCTGACTCCACATGCTCCCCCAAGCACTGCTGGGGATGGCCCTGGTGGCCCCTCAGTATCACCACTGGGCCCAAGCATTGATTCTCAGCCCCAGAGAAAAACTAAAACTTAATTTAGAAATCAATCGTTTGTGTCTCTAAGTGTATTTTTCCCACTTAACATTAAAATATAGGACATGAGGACTTTATATTCAAGAGGTGAGAATAACTGAAAGTAAATTTTTTTTGACTCTCCCTGATAATTAGAGTTTCAATTAAAATCAATCACACCAAAGAACTTCTGAAATTAGAGAATAAGCCAATGGGAAAATATAACTGAATCTACACTAATTAATTTTACAGGTAGATCTTTACAACCCTATCTACTGGATATCTACACAGTTAATACAGCAATATTTTCTACTTTCCCAAAGTCATATTTATTATGCACTGCAAAAGCATTCCAAGGAGTTGTATGGGAAAATGCATACCTGTAGGAAACCTGAACTTTTTATAAAGGAAGAAAAGGAAAGTGTTTTCCCACCCGCAAGCATCTGGGTGTGTGCACACTTTCTGCTGAGCGGGCTGGCTAAAGGGAGCAGCTGGAATCTGAAGCCACTGTTCTAGCACTCCAGAAAACCTTTTTAAATTTAAGATTGGGATTTGCCCCTAGGACTGCCCCTCAATAGGTGTCCTTTTATACCCGTTGAAATCAGAGAATGATTCTAAAATTGTTCTAGGAGGGGAAAATTCCAAAGCTTGAGCTTTCAAAGTTGAAGTTGGCTGCATCCAAAATACGTTAACAGTGCTACAAGGCTCATTCCCATCCCTTGGTGTTACCCCCCCCCCCTTTCTTTCTTGCCCTTCCCACATTCTTTCTTGATTTCTTTATATTTTGGTAGGCTTGCTATTCTCATTTTGTTGCAAGGCTGCATTTTAATTCATCCGATTCTGCAGTTGAACAGAAGTCCTGACCCCTGTGTTCATTTGTCCCCAGCTGGTGAATGAGCAGCAGGAAAGCAGGCCCCTCCTGAGCCCCTCCATCGACGACTTTCTCTGTGAAGCCAAGACGGAGGCAGCAGCACGGCCAGTAACGTCCAACACCGCCGGTAATTCCTTACCTGATCCACAAGTAGAGTTGATTTTCACTATAGGAAAATGCACGTTTTTCTTTCCACAATGCATTTTAAATGAAAACTAATGTCTGCAACCAAGTGACATTTTGGAACATGTGCTATTCAGCAGAAACCAATGAATCACTTTTCTTCCTGCAAGAAACTGGTGTATATTATACAACAAAATTTGCTGAACATTTGTTTACCACTGTGAGCAACCCGTCCTTTTCCTCTGCATATTTTCATACTTGTTCCTTTGAGTGACTAGTCACAGCTCCCGGGAAAATCTTGCCAGTAAAACCCTCTCTTTCCGATTAAGGTTTTTAAAGTTCTAGCTGCAAATATGTTGTATGACAAAAGTCCAGTAAAAGTAAAACAAGAGAATCAAAATTATCACTACAATGTTCTAGAGACTGGGGATATTAGTGTTGGTTTCCATCTTTAGTCACATGAAAGTATTTCTTGATCCATCTTAGAAGCTTTCTGAGCATTCTTTTTTAATTAAGTATACCAAATACTGGGAGCTGGAGTGATAGTGCAGCAGGTAGGGCATTTGCTTTGAACACAGCTGACCGGGGTTCTATCCCCAGCATCCCATGTGGTCTCCCGAGCACGGAGAAGAGTAATTCCTGAGTGCAGAGCCAGGAGTAACTCCAAAGTGTTGCTGGGTGTGATCCTCCTCCCCCCCAAAAAGTATAAAAAACACTAAATAGTCACCTATACATGCACATCTAGATGTCAACAAGTATTTCCAATGGGTGAATGCAGGATGCCAGTGGTAGGAATCCCATCTTCTCTGGTACCTAGTTCTCACTGATGTGAAAATCAAGTCACTTAAGAAGCACCAATCCTGAGAGAATATCACAATATTTGATTTTAAGTGATGTATGGGCAGAGCAGAGAGCTCAGTAGTCTGGATTACAAATGTTGCAAATAGCTTTCCCCAAGCACCACTTGGAGTGAGTCTCAAGCACTGTGCCAGGAGTAGCTCCCGAGCACCACCCAGTTGGTCCCTAAACAAAAGCACAAAAAACTACTTTTCACCATCTATCTCAGAGTCTTTCTACACTGATTTTATTCCGTCTTCATCCACACTCATAAGCATGTCATTCACATAAGAATGAAAACTTGTTCAGAACCAAGGAACAAAGGTTATGTTGGGTAAGCAGAGACTAAAAGAGCAAAGGAGACGATAATCACATCCAGTATTGAGAAAGTCATTCCATGTCCCCATCATGTCTTCAACTTGCTTGCCTTGCATATACTTATAGATATATTTTCAGTACATGAGCAAAATTTCAAGTGAAGTAAATTGCAGTTTTTTATTCCATAAAACTTTTAGCAACCCTCAAATCTAACACAGGATAGAGATGATAAAGAGCCAAGTCTAGTCGCTGAGGATTACCAGGCTTTATGATTTCAGACACGGTCTGTGCCACTCAGGTACGGTGTTCTCGAGCAAGTTGCTTTAACTAAGTCCGTTCTAAGATCTGTAGCAGGTAATTTGTGAACATTAGATGAAGCCATCTATGTAAGTTTTTAACACCATGTACACTCGATGTGTTAGATGTCTTGTGCAAACCAATCTACCCATCATTTTACAAATACATTAACTCTCTTTAAATCACAACAAAGCAATAGTTTTCTAAATTTGACTATCACTTTGAGTAATCAATCAAATAAAATCATGCTTGGTACATTTTAAGTAGGCAATGAAATAAGTGCTTATACTGTCAGATAAGATTGATCCTACGTGTCTAGAAAACTATAGCTTATCTCTTCAAAAACTGAGAGCTATCCCAGAACACTACAGAGGAGACTTGCAGAAAACCCAAGAGAACAAATTGCACTGAAAAATTCCAGTGTTCTTGGAGAAAGCCATAGAACTTAAGAGTTCTCAGATCTTAATTCTGATACCCTTTGCACTCTCCAGTTTTTCTGTCTGCAAACACTCCGTCTCTTAGGAAAAGCCCACCTAAAGAGCAACAGAACCTTTAACTTGAAAACCACTTTTTACTTATATTTTTCAAACACGTGAAAAAAGGCCCTGCCAGGAGTAGTCTCTGAGGAGAGAGTCAGGAGTAAGCCCTAACCACCACCACCAAAAACACAGGGAGACAGGGACAGAGACAGAGACAGAGAGACAGGGAGAAACAGAAAGAAACCAAAAGAATGCAATTCTTGGAATACAATCTCTATGAGTAAAACTTTCTATATTAATCTCTTAGTACTTCCATGACTAAATACCAGACTGAATTAAACAACAGACTTTATTGTCTCATAATTCTGGAAACTAAGACCTTGAATTCAAGGTGTCAGTCAGATCATCCTTACTCTGTATGTATAGAGGAAAGATCTGTACTAGTCTCTCTCCGAGTTTCTATGTTTCCTCAACTCGTGCAGCCAAACTCCAATCTCCATATGACACTTTCCTCCATGTGCCTGTCTCTCTGTGTGTTTGTGCCTCTGTGTCCCCAGTTCTCCTGTTTAGAAGAACTTCTACTGTACTGAAGTAAGTCCCTACTCCATCATGATCATCATAATTAAATACATTTGCAGTGACTCAACTACATTCAAATAAACTGACTCTTTTTTTGCTTTTTGGGTCACACCCAGTGATGCACAGGCATTATTCCTGTCTCATGCATTCAGGGATTACTCCTGGCCATGCTCAGGGGACCATATGGGATGCTGGGAACTGAACCCAGCTCAGCCACGTGCAAGGCAAACACCCTACCCACTGTGCTATCACTCCAGCCCCCCTAAAGTGACATTCTAAGGGTGTTAGAACCTCTATATGAGTTGGGGGTGGTGTGGAACACAGTTCATCTTCTGTCTGAAGAAAGAGCCAGTAATAAATGGCCTTTGAAACTACAGGCCTATGTTGTATAGATCTCAGCATATAGTGCATTGGGGTCACACCAGTTTTTATTCTTGAAGAAGATTTTCATTTGATGACTGTGTTTATTTGTTTTGGGGGGGCCATATACAGCAGTTCTCAGGGTTTACTCCTGGCTCTACACTTAGGGCTTCAGGGATCAGATGCAGTGCCAGGAATCAAACCCAGGTTGACATGCAAGGCAAATGCCCTCCCACATCTCTCCATCCTCTGATGCATTTTTTAATCTTATCCTTTAATCTTAGGCAGAGAATTTTTAGTTTCCAAGGAATACACTTTTATATAAATTAACACCAAGTAAATGACATAAAAATGACCTTTTACAAGGTCAGTCAAATAATAGATTGTTTATTTTCTGATAACTCTGAAGGAATATACTAGTCTGATTATTTCTACATTAGAATTATGTTTTTGTCATCCAATGTTGTCACTTCAAGCTGATCAAATAAAGATATTATCCGTTTTCCTATTAGCATCCTAACTAGCCTTTAATTTATCTGCATCCAATTTATCCCTAAGTGGTAGTAAGGCCAAAATAATTGCAGATATCCTTGTCACTTAAATGGCAAATTAATATACATTATACACAGATTAATATAGCAAAAGCACTAAGGCAAATAGACATAAATATTTTAAAGTAGTTATACTAAAATCTAATTAGTTACTATATAACTTGTGCAATATGTCCAAAACTTCTTATATTTCATATGACTCTTCTCCAAAAGGCTAGAAAAATAAGGATTTTTGAACTTAAGAACTGCATTTATCTACATAATCTAAAATAATGGTACACAAAATTTTAATCACTACGTAGAATTGCTGTAACAGTTTTTTACAATTTAAAAGTATTATTCTGGGTTCAGAGAAATGGCTCTCACCCTGTTCAGATCCCCAGCATTACATATGGATCCTCAAAGCACCTCCAAACACGATCCCTTAGCACAGAGCCAGGAATAAAACAAAGCAAAATTAATCTCACTCATTGATATGAAGCCTGTATCACTATATAAATGAGATACACGTATATAAGCAAAAATTTCCCCTTTACTTAGTTCACAAACATATCACAGTCAACTAACTAGATATCTTACCTGCGAAATTAGTGTGATATTTACAAAGATGCCCATAGCCATGAATACAATAGCATGCCCTCTTTTGAGAATCTTAGAAATTTGGAAAGAAGCTTAATTACAAAAGCCAATGGGTTGAGAGTTTGAGTTTTTATTATTTGTGTGAGGGGGAAGCAGGAGGTGGGGGTGGGCAGGGGATTGGGGTCACATCCGGCTGTGCTCAGGGCTTATTCCTTGCTCTGCATTCAGGGACCACTCCTGGCAGGGCTCAGGCCAACATATGGGGGGCTAAGATCAAGCCTGGGTGGCTGTGTGCAAAGTTAAGTTCTTTACCCCCAGTACTATCTCTCTGTCCCCAAGGGTTGAGAATTTTTGAAGCCCAGTTCTATTTACCTTTACTGATAAGATCCTTCCTACAGAGCTTTTTTTCTATAGTCCTGTAGGCATTATAGTAAAAAAAAACCATGATTTTTGGAATACCAGTACAGTTTATAAAATAGAACAAAGATCTTATCAGCATCAATTTTTTATTTTACCTGTCAAGGTTGTTCTGTGTTGTGTCTGTCCACTCCATGTAGATATTTCTTTGGAAAACATCTCTAAAATTCTTTTTTTTCTCTTTTTGGATCAGACCCAGCAATGCTCAGGGGTTACTCCTGGCTTTTGGCTCAGGAATCATTCCTTGCGCTGCTTAGGGGACCATATGGGATGCTGGAAATAGAGCCCGGGTCAGCCTCATGCAAGGCGAACACCCTACCCACTGTGCTATCGCTCCAGCCCCAACATCTCTGAAATTCTAAGGCTAGTTATACTTTAGTGGCATTAATAGTTTGGTGCTTACCATCATCCTAACTTAAGCAGTTTCACTTCTGAGGGCCCAGATGATCTGGTATTTCCAAAGACTTTCTGTGCCCTCTGAGATTCTTCTAGTTCAAAAGATGCTATGTTACTCAAACAACATTGATAGATACATAGAAATAAATGCTTAGGTAGCATTCATTAGCTCGTCCATCTTTAGATAGTCTCAGCAAATGGAATCTGGTTACCCAAAAAAATAATTTCTGAGATAAGAACCTATTTAAATTAGGTAGGCATCGGGCTTTTAAACTGCCATCTCAGGAGAGCAAACAAAAAGAGAATGGAAACTACATGAATAGAACACACACATTGTCTCCAAGTTCAGATGAAGTCTAGAGAGTTCTGGTAAAGGACAATGGCAACAGATTGCCACATCTGTGTTTGAATCCTAGTATGAACACTGACTTATCAGCTATATAAATTTACAACTGCTACTCTAAAACATTACTGCCAGTTTAGTGACTTAAAACAACACAAATTAATAATCCTATAATTCTGGGAGTTAGCAGTCCTTAAATCAAGGTGCTGATAAGGGTGCATTCCTTCTAGAAGCTGTAAAGAATTCATTTCCAGAGAGCTAGAGTGAGCTCCAAGCAGGAATGTGGTAGTAGTTTCCTAGTAGTGATAAATATTCATTACCACTATTACCATGCTTCTAGCATTGCTCTTAATACTTTAGACAAAGCAATTTATCTAACACTTTTTTCTGTGAAGGATGTTTGATCCCTATTTTAAAAACCAGAAACTAAGACACAGAAAGTTGAAGTGGCCTTTGCAAAGTTGCAGTGCTAGTATATGGCAGGATGAGGAGGTGAAGCCAGTGTCATCCATTGTCCTGTGCTACCTTACTTTACTCACTGGCAATACAGCCGATAGAGCTAACGCAGAAACCCTCTCCCTTATGGAGCAATGAGATCCTTCAGTTTAAGTCCTAAATAAAGAAGAAAATATTCTTGCTTGTGCATGCACGTGTGCACATGCGCACACACACACACACACACATACACACACACCACGTATGCATGCAAACACAATCTGTTTTATCCTTTCCAAACAGTGAATGACCACACCTTTTTTCTTATGCTTCCAAAATTGTGGTTCCTAGGACTCTCTGAACTTCAAGCTCGCCACTCAACTTCCAAGCCACCCCTTCACCAACTGGTAAAGAATAAAGCCTTTTGTGAATGCCAAGCATTTGTTTTACATTTGCTGGGAAAAGAACAAAGGAACAGAAAGCTACCCGAACACAGGAAGTGCTGAGGACAGTTGGGGGAAAGGGGGAGCGAGGCAGGAGGACACTTTACTGAGCCAAGTTTGAATTTGCTATTCACTCTTTCCGTAATTCATTTCTTCTGAATGGCGAGAAACAGATATAGAATTAAATTAATACTCACCAGTTATTATTCTGTAACAAATGTACTTCCTATATACAAGCAGACAATTCCTATATAATTTGTTTCTAAAAGAAGTCCAGGAGCAAGTGACTAATTCCTAATTGTTTGTGCAATTAGTAAAAAGACATCTATGGCATTCCAAAAAGTGTAATCCACTTCCTTCCTTTTATTATAAGGAAATCACATTGGGCCTCGAATTCTTGCCAGCATAACAGTAAGCCTGGAAATTTCTGTTTAAACTTTCAAAGGATATGCAGTGTGGTGGCATCCTCGCCTCTCTTGGCTGCTGGCCATGCTTAAATTTTAGTCATACAGTCAGGCTGCTTAGTTCTGAGAGCTACTTCATGCAGTTCCTGCTTTTGCATTGAACAACATCTGCACTAATCACCCAGCACTACCTGCGTACCTCAGCATTCAGTGTTGGAAAGGTGCTCCCACCCTCCCAACTCCTCAGAAGAGTCAGAGAAGATGGCATTTTCAGGTCATTTTATGACAAATTTACTTCGTAGCATCCTCTGTAGAACCAATATCTTTGTCCCAACCTCCGTCTTATTCCCAGTGCTGTTGTCCTATTCTGTCAAGTGTAGGGATCAGATTCTTGCCTGAAATTTAAAAAGTAAGAACAGAAGAAACAGGAAAAGATCAACAAAAAAAAGAAATGAAAGAATCACACACGGACCAGAAAAAAGTGAAAATAGCATTTTTGAGTACCTGTTGGCATTGACACATTTGATTTACAATAATATAATTTAATCTTCACATTGTCCCTAAAGCAGATTATTAAAATCTCTCATATTTCACATGAGGAAACCAAAGTCAAGGAACTTACTTTACATCACATTGCTAAGTGATAGGGCTAGATCTTTCCACATCACCAACATTGAACCACTGAGATTGGGTTCAAAGCAGGATTATCCAGAGTAACATTTGATATGAATTTAAGGACCCCCTAGGAATGCTTAGCACATTAGGACAGTATTAGGTACTGAGCATTTGTGAGCTCTCACAATTGTGTGAGTGGGGAAAACGGATAGAAGAGTAAGAGTGCAGACAAGTAAGCAAAAATTCATTTCCAGTGAGAGTAAAAGCTGGGAGACCAAAGAGGAGTAGCATGGTGTTCGTGTGGATGGCATCAGGAAGAGTTTTAACTAGGTGCCAGGGAGAATTAACTAGCACAAGGACTTCCTGTCACTCCAGTGGCATTCCAGAGCTAGCAGTGCTGTGTGACGTGATGCTGGATCAGGAAGTTATCCATCTGCTCAGAAGCCAGCCTCTCAGCTGCTAAAGCTGGTGGAGAAAGAGAAGGCTGGGGGCTGTAGTGAGGAAAGTTGAAGAGGGCCTCCTCTAATTTGAATTTTTCATCTCTTACAATGGGCTGGAGCTATAGCACAGTAGGTAGGGCATTTGCCTTGCACGTGGCCAACCTGGCCGACGCAGGTTCGATTCCTCCGCCCCTCTCAGAGAGCCTGGCAAGCTACCGAGAGAATTTCACCCGCATGGCAGAGCCTGGCAAGCTACCCGTAGTATATTCGATATGACAAACACAGTTAACAATTGTCACAATGGAGACATTACTGAGCCCGCTCAAGCAAATCGATGAACAATGGGAGGACAGTGACCGTGACAGTGATCTCTCACAGTAAACTACTCCCAGACTGGGCCACTTGCACATCAGGAGAAAGAAGAGTTCCAACACTTGCCTTTTTAATTATCCTCTGCCTAGTTTGCATTTGAATAAATTATTATTTCATCCTTCATTAGGGTATTTAATACAATATAATCAGCCTGCTAGGAGGCAAAAGGAAAACTAGTTTATTGTTTGTTGCATTGAAATTCAAATTTGCATATTAAACAGCAAAGGCATTAACATGTGTACTTATTCATCAACTCTGGATTATAAAATACCTCTCCTGTGCGAGCGCATGCAACCAGCCACTTTCTGATTAAACTGCTTAATTAAGTAAAAGGTAATTAACAGCATTCTTTTATACTCTGTGTACTTTAGTAATTTAAAATTAAAACATGGAAAACACAAAATTAAAGACATTCAGAAGCTTCTTTCAATCTTCCTTATAACTGTATACCTTTGAATATGATAGATTGACTTCTCTGGGAAAAACTGTAATCTGAAATAAATCCTCTATAAATAAAGCAAAGCGATATAGTAAATAATACCTGAACTTCGATTCCAATTTTATCATTCTAATTCTATTCCAAACCTCATCACTAATGAGGCTAGTCTAAAATCCTGATTTTCAGATTTGTACCCTGTCAAATGAAAAGAAATGAGCATGCAGCAAATTTCCCAGTCCAAATCCAAATGATTTTATAAATCACTTATGTGCTAACTCAGTCTTGACATCCACTACAAATTCAAAGTCTTTGTGTACTCAAAGGAAACCTTTTTTTATTTTTGCTTTTTGGGTCACACCCAGCGATGCACAAGGGTTACTCCTGGTTCATGCACTCAGGAATTACTCCTGACAGTGCTCCAGGGACCATATGGGATGCTGGGAATCGAACCTGGCTTGGCCACATGCAAGGCAAATGCCCTAACCACTATGCTATCGCTCCAGCCCCAGGAAATCTATTTTTAAATAATAATTTTAGAGCAACGAGTGAACTTTATCTTGACCTCTTCCATCTCTGATAGTATTGACCACAGGCTTAGATCTCCTGGACCTGAGTGAACCTGTCTCTCAAACCCAAACCAAAGCCAAGAAGTTGGAGTCCTCATCGAAAACCTCATCCCTCAAGAAAAAGGCTGATGGATCCGACCTCATCAGCGCAGAGGCTGAGCAGAGAGCCCAGCCTCTTCGAGGCCCGGACACAGCATCACTGGATTTAGGTAGGTAATGGCTTGTATCTAAGGCTGATGTTCAGGCTTGCCTTCATACCAAAGTGAGTTAAAACCATGAACTATGGAGTAAAAAAGATAGGTTCCATGTCGGAAACTGGTAGTATGCACTTCTTTTCGTACTTGGATTAAATCGCAGTTAGAGAACTCTGCTCTGTATAACTGGTGTGGGGGGTCATTGATTCATGTCTCCAACTCTCATGTAGGAGCTCCTGATAGATGCCATACTAGGCCCTAGAGTTACAAATAAAAATAAGATGTGCATCTTGCTTTCTAGAAAAATTCAGGAGAGAAAGAGTGAGAGCAGGAGCAAGAGAGATTACATGACACCCATTCAATCATCATAATTCTTTGAAATAAATGAGGAATCAGGTGTTTTGAATTTAAATAATTGGTAGTGAACTGGGGACGTAGCTCAAGGGTAAAGTGCATGCCTTTACTCAATCCCAGGCACCACAGACAAGGAAAGGAGACTTGTACTTGCCACCCCTATTCAGTATAATACTGGAACACAATAGAAAGCAGGAAATGACAAAAAAGCAAAAAATTGGAAAAGAAAAAATAAACAGTTGTCCAAGATCTCTGTATGAGGAACAACTAGAATTTGAGTCTGATTCTCATTAAGTTCAAGGCCTATATGTTTGTTCACTGTGCATCTTCCTGAAAAAGGAGCTCCTAATCCTCAGCTTATGGAACCAGTCAAATTAAACTTTTCTTTCTTATAGAAAAGTGATTAGTATTTCAAAAAGCCACAGAGAAAATGTGTCTCTCTAAACTGTGAATGACTGGTGGGTATATGTAAACTCATCCAATGAGCATATTAGCATATTCTTTATGAGGTTGTAAAAATTAAACACTATATATATGTGAAATTTGTGTAACACTATGTTATATACATATTTGGTGATCATGAATTAATTGACTTGCTCTGTGAATGTTTTTCTAAATACCTGGTATGTTTTAGGCCCATTTATATGCTAAGAATACAGAGATGCACAATATAAGGTATTTGCCTGATAGTGAGTTTCTCATTATGTAGAAAGGTAGAGAAATGATAAAAATTATAATTAGTATGGTTTTATAATTAGTATAAAAGGTATGCCATATGCTGCCATGAAAATATCACATTAAATACTTCTAATGCAGATTCATATAGATCTGACTCAGCCAGGGCCATATAGAAGAATTTATCGGCAGTATTTTGTGAATAAAGACTTTAGGGGTGATCAGTAGGAATTTTTCAGATGAAAAATATGGATCAGAGAGATGTTCAAAGAAGGAAAGGGAATTTCTTATATAAGAAAAAGGGATTCACACACATAGATGCAGAAAGATATCTTTTCAAGTTTATACAAATATTGAAATAGTATAATAGTGTAATAGTATATATTAAATATAATATACATACATTGTATATGATAGTAATAATAGTAGAATAATATAATAGAACAATAGGGTGGGGAGGGGGGCATCCTAATGTCAGTAAGGATTAGGTAATTCTATCCTAGAATACATGTCCTTAAATTTGGGGGCTAGGAAAGGTTTGAAGGGTTTTACTAAGAGGAGTGACAGCAACAGATTCTATTTTTAGAAAATTTCTCCTTGGTGGATGTGTTGGAGAGAGGAGTAAAGTCAAGGAAATCAATATATCCAAGACAGTGACAGAGAGGAATAGTGAGAAGAAAACAGTTTTCTGGTTTGTTTTTTAATTAGAACAGGATTAGAACATGAGTGGATGCATGTAGGTTAGCAAAGACAATAGTTCAGTGCGCCAAAAGGCAGAGAAGGAGGGGAGGAGGAAGACAAGGTGGGACCTTGCTCCCCCCTCCCCCCCCCACTCCGCTCAGCACTGCTGGATATCTGGGAGTGGAGGAGGGGCTGCCAGGGTAGCCTCAGTGCCAGCAGCTGCAGGAGTGGAATTCAGCTCTGACTTCACACTTGTCCTGGGTGCTTCAAGCCCCTGAGCCATCTCCCAACCTCTGTAGAGATTCCAAACAATAGTTTTGTCAGCATTGCCTCAGAGGGATGTCAGCCCTAGTCCTGGTGTTTGAACCTGAGACCTTAAGCTTACTAAGTACTTTAAGTCACTGAGCTCTCTATGTTCTGTGCTCCAAGGTGAAAACTCTTGAACCTTTAATATTTGTGAAAAATTGGGAACTTTTTTATAGAGTCCAGCAAACTGTGAAACGTATAGATCTATAACTCAGGAAAGAGAATGAGCAGGAAATGAAAGTCAGAGCATCTGAATGAATGGCCCTATCATAGTGTAGGGATCATCCAATGATAGGTCATAAAGAAAGGGATTAGAGCTCACATAATGTTCAAAATAGAATCTCCTCACCACTGCCATGTTCCTCTTTGGGGCCTGTTTCTTTGGAGACAAGCTTATTATTATCTCTACTTTACACTCAGTGTGTCCTAAGATTATAGTAGATGAGACTTAAACATTACTATAAGGGCAAGCTACCGAGAGTACTCGATATGCCAGACACAGTAACACCAAAGTCTCCAATGGAGACGTTACTGGGCCCGCTCGAGCAAATCGACGATCAACGGGAGGGCCTTTACCTTTACCTTTACCTTATAAGGATATATTATTAACTATGTTGCAAGTTACATTTTCAGCAAATGTGCACAGAGTAATTTTATTTGAGAAAATATCTTTGAGAAAAATATCTTGTGAAGCAGTCGTAAAAATACTTGGAGACTTGGAGGACACGGACTGCAAATCAGTCCTTTTATAAATGAAAATCTGTCCCCACGTTTGCTTAAATGTTTTGTGTACAGCCAGACACCATTTAATGAGAGAACTCAGCCAGGTTACTCCTTTCAAGAGAGAGAAAATAATTTATGAACGAGTAGTCCCAGTGTTCTCTCTTCTCCATTGTTTCTTTCCTCTCCATTCCCATTTTAAATTCCCTCCCTTGGGGAAAAAGATTAAACAGATTCTATGAAGGCTGTGGAAAGTGTTTCAGTTTAGTCCCACCTCATTTTAAGAGCCAAGCTCACCTCAGGAAACATAATTTGTAGAAACATGCCAGAAATTCCTCACAGCCGGCACAACCTAGCTAAGGGCTGATGAGATGATATGCACTAGGCTCATTCTATACTGGATCCCAGGAGCAGACACCACATTCAGAATAAACGGACTTCTTGAAATAAATTCAGGTAAAGTGTCTTATTCCTGTAGCTGGAGAAGCAGTCCTTTTTCATAGCTCTCATTTTTATTCAGCTTCACATGTTTTAAGTAATTTCATGTGACCAAAAATGTTGGTCTTAGTGTTCGAGAGCATCTAATGAGCAAGGGTCTTGGATAACAGTTCTTCATCTTAATCAGTCTCTTATCTCTGCACCTCCTATCCCCCTCCCGCGGTTTCCGCGTGCACCCTTCCTCTTTCCTTAGTAGACATTCAAACCCAGCTGGAAAAATGGGATGATGTTAAGTTCCATGGAGATCGAAATAGCAAAGGACATCCACTGGCAGAAAGAAAATCATGCTCATCTAGAGCTGGATCAAAAGAGCTCTTATGGTAAGATATATAACATCAGAAATTTATATGTATATGTATATGCATTTATATGTGTAAGTTGTATGTATCGTCTGTGTTAAAGTAGCCAATGAGTTAATTCAATCCAGACATTGGTGCTTTATATAAAACCAACTTTAAACCTATATAAATTTTTGTTATACCTTCAAAGTAAATTATTTTATTTGACAGTGACAGTGGTTTGTCAAATATTTGGTTAATAGGAATTGGGTGGGTTTCAATAACTGTTACTAATTTTCTGAATATGCAATCTAGCTGATCAATTGAAATGAGTGCATGTATTTGTTTTTGTATATGCATTCAATATATTTCCTGAATGATAATTAAGCTTGTAGGGTTATTCAAATGACAGATAGTGAACTAATTAATACTAATCTATGATAGAAATTGACGGGCTTATTCTAAGTGATGTGACTAAGGAAGCGAAAGAATCTGTTACATGATTTCACTGATATGTAGAATATAAATTACTAAAGTAAATGAAATAGCAAGAAACAATAAAACTTATTACTGAACTCAGTGAAGGACTATGTAATTACCAGAGAGAAAGGGGAGAAAGATGAGGAGAATGAGTTGTGGGGATTTGATAGTCATGGGAGTGGTTATAATTACACACATATAAAATTAAGAAGTTAAACTGAAATTCTATAATGTGGTAAAGTAATGATGTTGATTAAAAAAAATTGAATATTCTCTTGGTCATCATGTCTATAGGACTTCTCTGGAAAGGCTCTCATAGCTTTTTCCCAAAAGAACAGAGTAAGATGATGGTACTGGTAGCATCAGTCATGATTAATTGCTGATAAACCATTTGTTAGATCAAGTCATTGATATAATTTATAGAAAAGTGCTATAAATAGGTAATGAAATTTTTTAAACAACACACACAGAAAAACTTTTAGTTTTCCAGAGCACTTGGTGTTACTCACAGCTTTCTCCTGCCTCTGTCAAGAGACCATATGGTGCCAGGAATTGAACCTGGGTCAGCTATGTGCACGGCAACAGTAACATCTTTCTAACTTAAAAAGAAAATGTTGGTTTTGGGGGTGACACATTCTGCTGTACTCAAGTATTACTCTAGCTTTCCACTCAGGGATCAATCCTAGTGGGCTCTGGGGACTAGATGGGGGGGGCAAGGGATCAAATCCGCATGTAAGGCAAGTGCCCTGCCCACTGTACTTCCACTCTGGCCTACAAGCTGAAATTTTGTTAAAAGAATAATTCATGAGCGAGAAACAAGTGATTCTTGATTGAACTGAAGATTGCATCTATAACCAAAATCTTAATAATCTTTTCATAAGCATAAGCTTTATGTTTCCCCTGAAAAATATGCATTCTTCCAGCTATATTTTGTTAGATTACATCTGTGATGACTATGTGCAAGTGTTATTTAATGGTAGTGTTCAAAATCTGAAGCCCACCAGAGATTTAAAATTCTAAGCCATTATGACTCTTTAAAACATTGTGAAGCTATCAAACATCGTTTGAATCACATTTCAGTATTTTAAATATGATGGGCAGATGAGGGTGTCTGTCATGCCAACTCTTTGAGTTTTTTGTCATGGTTTGACAGTGCAAGAACTCTGTGACATTAACGGATTCCATTTTTTTCCCCTTTATTTTATTTTATTTTTTTTACAGTTGTAAATTTATAATTTTTTGTGCTTTGGTTTCAATTATACAATGATCAGATACCCATCCCTCCACCAGTGCCCATTTTCTACCACCATGGATAATATCCCTCCCACCCCCATCCCCCCATCCCCCCGTCTCTGTGGCAGGGCAATCCCCTGTGTTCTCTCTCTCCTTTTGGGTGTTGTGGTCTGCAGAAGAGGCGTTGAGTGGCAAACATGTTCAGTCCATGGTCTACTTTCGACATGCATCTCCCCTTCTGGGAGGAACGGATTCCATTTTTAAACATTTTTAATTGGAATTCCATGATTTTACAAGACTGCTAATAATATTTTCTTGTGCACATAATTCCAGCACCACATCCATCACCAGGGTTCTCCCTCCCAAGGAACAGATTTTGGTTTTTGTTTTTAAAAATAAATATATGGAGACCAGAGAGATTGTTCAAAAAGGTGAAGCTCATGCCTTGTTTGTGCAAAGCCCTGCTTCAATCCCCAGCTGCACACCCCCCTAGAACAGCTCAGGTATGACCAAGTATAGCTGGGAATTGGTCCTACGCACACAGCCCACCCCTGCCTAAGTAAGCTGAAGGGGAAAAATGACCCACAAATGCTTTTGGGAAAATTTGACCTGCTGAGTATTACCATGTTTTAAAACTTCACCTCCAGCTGCCCCTCACACAGGTCCATTTCTTACAACATTTCATTCTAAATTCAAATCCAACCTGTAACATCACATTCCCTCAAAAAATGCTTTTTAACAAAGAACTTTCTGTAACAAACATGATATTGAATTTTTTTATTTAGTACCTAATTGAACTAAAAAATAAACAATCCGAAACAGTTACACCTATAATGTTGCCACCATTTAAATTCCAAATGTTCCCGTGATCTTTGAAATATGAAAAGCATTCCAAATGTTGTCTTTATCATAGAAATATAGAATATTTACTTTTTTCATCAAAATTTTGATGAAATTTTGGTTTTGGGGACAGATTCAGCTGTAGAATATAAATTACTAAAGAAACTTTTTCCACTGGCTTTCAGTACAAATTAACCTGGTTTCTTAATTGGATTTCTAACTGAACATGTTTCTTGGGGTGACTTTGTTTTGTTTTGATCCACACCGGCACTACTCCAGGCTTACTCCTGGCTCTGTGCTCAGGTATCACTCCTAGAGGGCTCAAGGAATCTTATGGGGTTTCAGGGATTGAACGCTGGTTGGTTATTATACGCAAGTCAAGCACTGCACCTGCTATCCTATTGTTCTGATCCTGAACTGTTTCTCAATGAACATTAATGCCCTTCCTTCGTGTCATAGGTCCTCTGAGCACCGGTCTCAACCAGAACTAAGCAGCGGAAAAAGCGCCCTCAATTCTGAGTCAGCTTCGGAGTTAGAATTAGTGCCCCCAACACAGGTAAGTCAACTGATTTCCCAATCAACCAGTGCTTTCCCATCATTTATAAGCATTTTAAATCTTGCCCAACGCTTAATGTATCTTTCATTTTCATTGCTTTTCATGGACTTTCTCACTAAATAACTATTTCAATGATAAAAATGACTAATGATAAATTAACAGTTACATATGTCCATATATAGTTGCCCCCAAAATGTATTCATGAATATACTGTGTATTTAGAACTTTTTCTTGTTCTACCATTTAGTATTTTACTTTTCCACACAAAATGTGTTCTCTCCAGTATAAGTACTTTATGTAACAGAACATGAAGAAGAGGAAACTTATATCTTGAGTTTTAACTCACATCTGTACCCTCTTGAGGGGACCTTTATTTTATTTTCTTTAAAAATTTTTTTTATTGGGGCTGGAGTGATAGCACTGCTGGTAGGTCATTTGCCTTGCATGCAGCCAACCTGGGTTCGAATCCAAACATCCCATATGGTACCCTGAGCACCACCAGGAGTAATTCCTGAGTGCATGAGCCAGGAGTAACCACTGTGCATTGCTGGGTGTGACCCAAAAAGCAACTAAAAAAAATTTTATTGAATCACAGTTAGTTATAAGGTTGTTCATGATTGGGTTTCAATTATATAATATTTTGTTTTATTTATTTATTTTTTTGTTTTAATGATTCACCATGAGATACAGTTACAGACTTACAAACTTGCATGATTTTATTTTGGTCATACAGTGTTCGAGTAGGACTCTGTCACATTAAAATAAATTTAATTCAAATGAATAAATAGGGGCTGGAATGATAGCACAGAGGGTAGGGCGTTTGCCTTGCATGTGGCCAACGCAGATTAGATTCCCAGCATCCCATATGGTGCCCTGAGCACCACCAGAAGTAATTCCTGAGTGCAGAGCCAGGAGTAACCCCTTTGCATTGCTGAGTGTGACCCAAAAAGCAAAAAAAAAAAATCAAATGATAAATAATTATGGTGTTAGTAGCCATTGTAATACTAAGAGGCACCATTTGTGATTGCCCACAAATACTAGAGACTTTGCTAAGTACTTTTATTATATCAAATATTTAAGTATTCTCATGAGCTGGCCTTACTAAAATAATCCTTTAGATAGTCAGAGTGAAGTTAAAAGACCTTTCTCAAGCCTCTGACTAGTGACTGTGGAAATAGCTATGGGCCACACACATCTGTTAACTACCTGACTCCGGTATAACCGACTTGTCTATAACTAATTTCATCCTGATGGTTCAAAAAGGCTTCAGAGTCAGTCTCAGTCTTTCAATCACTAAAACGTTTTTGCCCGGTGAGAGCCTGGATCTAAGTCCACAGAGGGTCAGTGGGATGGTACAGAGGTTCAGGTGCTTGGCTTGCATGTGGCCATGGCCTTAACAGTGCTTTAGATCCCAACACCATATTTCCCTGAGCACAGAGTACCAAACGTGATCCTGAACACCATCTGATGTGCAACCCCCCCCCCAAATAAACTTAAACCACAGTGAATTCTTAAGGAAAGTGCCCACAATCATGCGCTCTACAATCTCATTGAAAATAAACTGAATAAAATAGGTGCAAGAATTACTCTTGAGTTTCCTAATAAGAAACTGAAACTAGGGACTTGAGCGATAGCACAGCAGGTAGGGCATTTGCCTTGCATGAGGCCGACCCCAGGTTTGATTCCCAGCATCCTATATGGTCTCCCGAGCACCACCAGGAGTAATTCCTGAGTGCAGAGCCAGGAGTAACCCCTGTACATCGCTGAGTGTGACCCAAAAAGTAAAAAAAAAGGAAATTAAAACTAAAAGGGGAGATGTATTGTCGGAGGTGAAATAAAAGGATAATTATTATAATAGCAAATGTTATTGAGTACTACAAGAGGAACTTCTCATTTATATAAGTTATTTTTTAATATAGGACTACTGCTATTTATTCAGCCATTGATTAAGCTGATCGAACATATAAATTAATTTTATTGTGACAGATGGTTCTGAGATAAATTCATTTTTTAATCTCCTTTGAAGAAATATTAAGGGGACAGATAAGTGGTACAGTGTGGAGGGGGGGAATTGGCCTTGCATGCAGCCAACAGGTTCAATATGTGCCAACATACAGAGTCCCTTGAGCACCACCAGGTGTAAACCTTGAGCATAGAGACCGGAGTAAGCCCTGAGCACACTAGAAGTGACCCAAAACCCAAAATAAAAGTTTTTTTTAAAAGAATAAACTAAAATAGACTTTGAGAGGTCAGGACCCAGCAGGGCACAGGGAGTCATTTAGTACCGAGGATGGAATCCAGACTTGATACATGCAAAATATTCACTCAACCACTGAACTCTCTCTCTCTCTGACCCCTTCCCACCCCATCTCATAGACAGAGAAACTAAAACATCTGAGAGTAAGAAACTAGGGTAGACAATAGCAACTAGAGTGAAGTAAAGAGGAGGATAGATAGGAAAGAAATATAGAGGAAATGGAAGACACCTTGGGATCCCTCTCAGCCTTTTCTAAACACACACACACACACACACACACACACACACACACACACACACACACACACACCAGCTACCCTTTCTCACACCCCACTAGAAATGGGTAGACATTCCTGCTTCCAGAACTCTACGGGAATTGGAGTTCAACTAACACCCAGAATAAATAGCGATAATGAATTGTAAATGTAGCATGACAATTTATCTCTTCCTCTGCATTAATTCTAAATGTATCTTTTAAATAAAGCTTGGGAAAAAATAAATAATATTCAGTAAAATAAAATTGATGGTATTTATTATAGAAACCTTTTTATGAGAGGTACATTTGAGATTTATTTTTAGTAAAAACAATGGATGCTGTTTCATAAACTGGAAACCTTGGAACATTTTGATGTAGCAACAGAACCTTTGTTTCTGCAGCAGGGAGACTTGGCACAGGTGGGCTGTTCTCTGTGGAGCTGGAGGGGCGGAGGATCAGCTGGGGTCCTCGGTTGCCTTGGAGACCCACAATGCTTTTATCTTATTATTCCAATGTCTGCTACTCTCCCACTGGTTGTCTGATTTCATCCCACCGCATTGTCCTGCCATTCACCCACGGGTGTGTCTTGAAGCAAACACAAGTACTTTGGCAATTTTGTAAGAGAATTCCAATTTTGTCCTGTAATGCCAAATTCATAATGCAGTATAGCCATTCTTTGTCAAGAAAAAACCAGAAATTTTTGAGAGGGATAATTAGTTCATTGTGAAGACTTTGCTTAGATTAATGTTTGTATGTTTGTCTGTATGTTTGTCTCAAGATTTTCCTAAACTAACTGCATTATTATTACCTAGTTTTGACTCAAGCCTGTCAGAAAATTACGAAAATGTCGTGAATTTGGAGTCAAGTGGAGCAGCAAGAAGAAAGTCTGATTAATCTATTTGTAATAAAAAATCTTAAAAATGCTTTCTTCTGTTAGAAGCATACTGTTCTTAAATAATGGTCTCTTTACATAGCAAACAATTTCAGCTCCCCAAAACCTATTATTCCTGTATAGTCACATAGGTGGTGCACAGGAAAAAGGTTTCCTTCTCTCAAAAGTATCTTACGCTCAATAAATGAGGAGTTATTTACATACCTTATTTTAAAAATATTTCAAAATAACAAAGATAATGGAGGTTCACAATGAAAATTCATATGCTTGCTCATTATCTTTCCAAAACGGGAAACAGAAAAAAGTCTGCTTTCTTTAAAACAAAGTGTTTTCAGCACATTAGTAAGAGTGGCAGGAGATCATCTCTGTACCTCAAGGATTAAATTTGGCATTTGTACAAGCTGTGTAGTTTGTATTTCCTAAAGTTCATTGTTTAAAAAGTTCAGCAGTATGAAAAATGAGAAATAATTTCAAGAATTGGGAGAAAAACACAGGTGATAATGATGTAAAGACAGCTTTATCCTTAAATGAGTGAAGATAGTGATGAGACAAAAAACAACAACAACAACAATAATAATAGTAAGAAACTTCTGGCAGAGTTGTAAAACAAGCATTTTTTATTTAATTTGGACACTGATAGTAAACAAACTATCTAGACAAGCTCTTGCCAACCTAAGTTGGACTTCATGAGAATAAGCAGCAGTCAGGTTCTGCCAAGACTTTGTCTCTAGCATATAGTTACTTATTTTGCTGACTTTGGAACAGCAAATGCTTTGTTGAATGGTGGGGTCATAATTCCATCAAGTTGGCAATATCCAAATCAGAACAATTTAAATTTTAATCCATATACATATACTATTTTTAAATTTTAAAAGCATGCTATCAAGTAAATGTGTGCTAATAGCTAACATCTATTATACGTTTATGTCTGTAATAGGAAATGTTTCTAATGTACTCTTTGAAATGCTACAGAATCTTGGGAATGAGTAGGACACTCATTTTTCAACTGAAAATGCATCTTAGAGGAAAGGAATATTTTTAGGGTGACCCTGCAAAGGAGAGGAGCTAGCATTCAAGTCGTTGCCATTAGTTTATAAACACGCCCTTTTTTAACCCTTAGTATGAGGTGATATCTCGTTATTGTTTGGATTTGCATTTCTCTGATAATCAGTGATGCAGTGCTATTTTATTCCATACACTTATGGCCATCTGTATGGCTTCTTTGAAGAAGTTTGTTTATTTCTTCTCCCCATTTTTCAATGGGATTTTTTAAGTGTTTTAAGTGATGTATATATCTTGGATATTAACCCTTTGTCAGATGAGTAATGAGCATATATTCTCTCCCAGTCTGTGGAAAGTCTATTTGTATCATTCCTTTTGCAGTGAGAAAGCTTCTAAATTTGATGTAGTACTCTTGTTTGTCTTTGGTTATATATGGTAGTAAACACTCTTTCTCATCTCCTTCTCTTTTTAAATCAATACTGATTTTCCCTAATGGCCTGCAAAGGAGGATTTCATAATTGGATAGAGATGTGAGTCATAGCTCTAGGAATTATCTCGACACACTTTATCTAGATTTTCTACATGTACCTTCA